ACTTGTCGATGAAATTACCTGGTTAAACAAAGGTATTAGATCGGGAACAACTTCTATATATAGTTCTTGTATTAATGTTAACATTTATTATTTGAAATACTTATACGTTGTGCAGTATACACAATAGATGGTTCACAGAATCTTTATAGTTGACTAGCTACTTAATAGCTAATACCTTTTTAAAACTTCAAATATAGTATGCATGAAAACTAAACTATTCTTCATTAAAATTTAGAATAGCTAACCGTAAGCTCTAAGAAATTTTGTTTCTGTGTTTGACTAACGACAAACCATATGACTTCATAACCTCTTCGTTTAGAAAAAAACCCAGTTAGTCTACTATTAATGATTTCAATTTTAGGTATTTGATATAAATTTGAACAATTTAGTTAACACTATCATTTCATAACGTCCTTAATAATTTGTGTCATTTCTGCTTCACCTCTGACTATTCATTTGTTCTGATTGATGATAACATTATTATTTCCATACATCATAATCCCTTGATAAATTTAAATCAAGTTAGAAGTATATGATTTGCAGAAGAAAGGCAGTTCACTGTATTTCATGGCAACTCTTCAACTTTGAATGGCCAAATTTGAAAAGTAATTCTATTAGTATAAACACTTTTGTATATCTGAATCAATGAAATTGAGTTCAAGACGACACAGCAAAAAAACCCCATAAGAAATAGAAGGATGAATCAACAGATTTACTATAATAATCAAGATTCATTAGGATTTATTTATTGAAAATGAGGTCGTTTAAAAGTGTGATGTAATGAATAGTACGAACAAAAACAATTATGTTACAAGTGAATGATAATCAATTAACTTGGTTGATATAAGGTTAATGTTGTTGGTGAATATAACTGGTAATTTTAAAATTAAAGGCACAATAAAAGCATTATGTATTCGACAAGCGTTTTACCAAGTCTATCACACTTTCTTAATGTACAGGTCAGGTCAAAAACGCTTGACAACAAATGCCTCTAGATGAAGGAGTAAAAACGACGTTCATTGTTTGCTTATTAATTTAAACGTCTTCATGATATATACCTTACGTTCATTTTCCATAAAGACCTTAATAATAGCAGTTATGAACAGTTTATTCTCTTTTAAGCACACCTTCCTAGGGAAATATCTAGAAAACTTTGTAAATGCTTAGTTTCGGTCCTTCCTATAAATTTGCTACAACAAGCACATATAAATTTATAAATACATTTGGAGGTAGACTCACAAGGATTTTGATCCACTTTGACTGATTCAAGGAAATTCGATCATGTATAATACATAACAGTAAGCTGAAGCGTAGCTTCTTATTATCATTGTTTTAACCCTTTTATTATTTTTGAAATATAATCTCCTTTGACCTACAAACAGATGAAGGCGAATGGTTTCTTAACAGTTGATTGTCTTGACGTTTTAGTAGTTCAGAATAAATCTCTTAGAACATTCTTTTTTTATAGACACTTTTTAATGCCAGAGATTTCTTTTTTCATTTCATTCACTGAACATAACTATATTTTTATTAGATTAGTTGTTGATTAAACAGAATCTGCAACTAACACAATCAAAAACTATTACACTATTTTCTCAGTCATGATTCTTTTGTAAATTGCTCCGTATTTCCTTTGTATTATGTTCAGGTATAAATAGTTGCATATTTTCCATCGTAAATTTATTGTCTTCATGTACTTTTTCAAGCTGATGAGTTAATCGTAAAACGCTATTCATTATTATTCCATATTAGTTCATTTCAGCATTCAAAACGTTAACGACATTGTATACTATCAATCTTAAATTTATATTCTTTATTTTTATCACATGCATTTCCTTCAAATATGAATATTCCTTTTAAGTAGTACTTTTCATCATTCAGCTTAGAATATGATGGGAAGCTGTTGAACAGAATATTTTTCTTTAATATATCTGTATTTTGCTATTGCTGGAATTATTAAACAATCTAGTAATTACGTGTTAAAAACATAAAAGTTTACCATAATGAAATATTATGTTCAAACTTTTTCGACTGACAAACGTGAAAACTAATCTTGTATTATAAACGTTTTGCCTTGATATAGCGTTAATTCACAAGCGTTATAAGCACAGATGCATAATGGCTAGCAGTGGAAACCAGGACGCACAGTTCATTGTATTTTAGACTCGTCAGTTGTATATACCTGCAATACTCACATGGCGCACATACGTCAATAAGAGACTGATCAATTGTATTCCTAAACATCAATGGGAAGATTTAAAAACAAACACCACATTACACAAGAAAGTGGCTATCAGGATTCAGAAATCGAGTGGATAATGTGATGGCGTTTGAAGCGAACGGTTCTGGGTTCGAGTCCCAGAGTGAACATCAACTCGGAATCAGGTACATCCAGGTGATGAGTCGCAAATTAGACGAACCTTGCGTCCTGGATTCCACTTTTGCTCACTATCCATCTTTGCTTATAAAGCGTGTGACTTAAGGCAATCTCGAGTCAGTCCGCACAGGATTCATATATGCCAACAATAGACTGATCAATTGAAGTCCTAAACAACAATGGGAAGATACAATCAAACAATACTCAGTAATCTTGTATTAGTTCGTAATTGGTCATAGATAGTATTTTACTCCGTTTAACTGGATTTAATTTATCAAACACTGAGCCGGCATCCAGTGGTCATAATGTCTAAATTCAACCAATCCACGAAACTAAGCGACACATCCACCATTGTCTTCAGTGAGTTACTATCTCACAACAGACCAGGTTGAACTCCACTGGTCACTACTTCTCACTAGAACGCCGGGATATACCTATTGAAGTCTGTCACTAGTGATCATATGTTGAAAAATATCAGGTGTTTTTATGGATATTATAGTAATTTCAATAGTTGAGATCATGAGTCGGTTGGACCTAGACCACCATAGAAAACCTGGAAGCACTGGACGGCCGTTTAGTCTTATTGTGAAAAGCCTCAGCAGTGCACATCCACGACCTCGTCCCTACGAGATTCAAACACAGGACCTACTGGTTTCGCGCGCGAGCACTTAACCACTAGACCACTGAACCGGCATGCATATGAGTGAAATGATCACTGATTTGTTACTTTTTTGTCCAATTATATGTACATGAAGACGAAATTTTATATGATTACTTCCACTGAAATGACGTAACATTTTTATGATCTAAGAATTCTGAACATGTACATCTTGACAATATATATTCACATTCATTCTTTCAACTGACCGAAATATGAACTACCTTATAAACGTTCTAGATTCATCAAAAACCAAGCTACTTGGAAACCATACGACTTTATAAAGCCACTTTTCTAGATAACTTTAATTTTCAAATAACTTTAAAGTGGTTAATATATTCAATCCTACTAGTTTTAAAGTTGATTTTAGCATTTACTGACTAGCTAGATCATTTCCATTCATTGAAATCATGAATCAATATTAGTTAAACCACCGTTGAAAATCTGGAACAACATGATAACATTTTGTTTCTAGTATAGATTTCATCAAGAGTGAGCATCCACGACCTGGCAGGCATGAATCTAAACCCAAGACCTTCGATTTCGTGCACAAATGCTTAACCTGTAGACCCCTGAGTCGGCATTCAAATTTATTCAAGTTTGAATTCAAACAATCCATTCTTGTTATATATGTGTCTAAGAATTTCATTATCTATATGCTGTTCAGATAATTTTCTTACATTATAAGCATTTGTTAATCGAATTAAATAAGCCAGTACATGTCGCCCAGTTGCAAATTTTTGTTGTTAGTCAGTATTCTTCAAATTATTTACGATAAAAGCACTTAGTAACCTCATGGAACCTCCAACTAAATGACTAACAGATATTTAATGCATCGATATTTTGACTCCCGGGAGATAGTTCAGTGTTTGAAAGTTCATCATATATGGATCATTATGACGTGTTTCAACAAAATCATATGTATTAAGTGGTATCATTCTTCTCCGAGTAACAAATCTTTCTAAAAACCTCTGAGTTATTTAATTTACCAAATTTTATTTGCCTCACACGTTCCTACTACTACTGTGGTGGGTGCTACTTATACTGATATAAGTAGTATATGAAGCGAGTCAAAGAACGTAGTGTCTGGCACCATATGGGAGAAGATCAAGAAAGGAAGAGCAGGAACGCAATGCAATTTGTGAAAATCATGAACAATGAAATGTGAGACAATGGATTGATGATTGCAACAGCAACAGTCCGGTTTGATATGATGAAATGACATTTTGCAAACTAACGATTTACTATTTGGTTTTTCTATTTTACCAAGTGACTCCGTAATTTTGTGCTAAATACATTCGGTTGTCCCCACCCGGGTTCTGTTTACTACACTACCACTACTACTACTTATCAATGTTATGACCAGGTTTTATCTATCTGCTTCATTTTTTTTCATACTACATCACTAATTTATTGATTACAACTAGTATTAAAAACTAGAATCACAGATAAATATAGTGGAACATTTTTTAATAAATAGTTGAGCAATCTATCAGTGTGTGTTCAGTTATACACTATCACCACCAATAAACTTTAACTGTCAAAGATCTATTCACTACTTAATTAGCTCATACTAAACAACACTATTTACCACCCCCACTAATCGTGTATATCAAAATATTTTTTGTGTAATCATTTTATTGTTCATAGCCAATCTATTGGTTGATTATTATAAATTACTAAATGGAAAAGAAACAAGTGATATAAATGCACTAAATACATCTTATACCAAAGCAATTGAAATGCAATAAGGGAACATATAGATTATCCAGTTATCTATTCAGTTGTCATACAATTAAACGGGTTTTTCTTAATCAGTCCTATAGTGATACATATACAATAAATATTTAAATTAAAAGCGCTCATCAATTTTTACAAAGAAACAAGATAAAGTAAGTTTGTATACCATTCATTTAACTTGGTTTTTTTCTTAAATTTCTTTTATTTGACTACTTTTAATTAGAAATGAAAACGAAACGTTCCACTAGTAAAATACGTAATTCTGAACCAATAGACGATATACTACGTCATGTAGGAACTAAACAATATTTATTTTTGGAAACACATATTTGTACAATTTATCGAGTAACATGTGCACCTGGAGAAACATTTAGTGAATCAAAAGCATTATCATTAATAGAAAAATATCATCGTAAAAGACAAGCACATTGTAATGCTGGTTTATTGGAAGATCGATTTAGTTTGGAACGTACAAAAACTACTGGAAAAATACCATTTCGTCCATGGGTATCATATAAAGAAATTATGCATTTCTATGTAAGTCATTCTAAACCGGAATTCTTTGCATTATGTATTGATTCACAACGAAGTTTACAAAAATATTATGAAATATACAAATGTAAAAGTGCAGCAAATGTTAGAAAAGTTGAAGAATTAATGAGACGTGCAATGAATGATCCAGACAAAAAACTACATGATGTGAATGCACTAAGACAAGTAGCGGTGAAAGATAGTGACCGAATACGTTCCCTGCCGAATTTCGAAGAAGAAAATATACGTGATACTATGGTTGAAGATAGATCTCCCTCACCACCATATCAGTACCCATCACCACCACCAGTACGTCAGTTACCTTCTCCTGTGATGGTAGCCCCTGTAAGACAAGTCCCTGTGTACAATGCAGCATCACCTAGCCCAGTAATTAATTTTGAACGTTATAATGTTGATGATCTAGAAAATGTCACGTATATCAAACTGGATCCTAACAGAGGTCCAATGATAGATAAAGAAGGACCAATTTATATGTTTTTTTCAAGGCAGAAAAACAATCAAAGTGAACCAAATCTTTACAATAATTATGTTAATCATGATTCACCAACTTGGAACAGAAGAACTAAAAACTCTAATGTAATGTATTCACCATGATAAAACAAAGTCATACTCTAATGAATAGTATCCTAGATTTTAATTTCCATCATAAAGATTCACTAGTTTCTATACATGCACAACTAAGAGAATAACATAAAATGATGAAATTACCTGAAGAATTCCACTTCTTTGATTACAGTATACAATTAATTTTCAGCTTTACCTACTTGTGTCATACTATTGTAGCTTTATGCTTCCTTTATTTTAAAAGCAAAAAAATAAAAGACATAATGTTTTCGTTTCGATTATTTAGTACAATTTATTAGTCATACTCAGGTTAGTAAAATTGTTGCTGCTCAAATTCTGTGTTTATTTTCTCATTTTTCTTTCTTTTCAAAATCTTTTCGTTATGAATATATCATTATGAAATATTGTTTCACTGCGGAAGTTGATCAACATATTTCGTTATGTTTTTGTTCATTTCTACAAAAAAAAATTACGTCAGATATGTGTGTGTGTGTGATTTAGTTGCTACAGTGATTAGTAAATAATTTAGTCATCCTTACATTCATAAGTTCATGCCTAAACAATTACCGATATATATATATATATATATATATATATATATATATATATTGCTTTTTATATATGGATACATATTTCATAAAGATTAGCCATTTATTATTAATTTCATTTTATTATTACCAAAGGATGTATGGATAATATTGTTTATTATACTCACAGTAATACGTAAATATATGTTTCCATGTTATATTTGTTTTTACTTTATAAGAACTGGGGGTTCGTTGAGTACAATCCTGAATAAACTTTATGTATCTATTCACTTCCTTTTTTTCTGTTTACAAAAGTGAAGAATTATTTCACTTTGAAGTATGGATAAAATAATCTTGTCATGATTTAGTTGTTCCATTTTCTTTATTTCTTTTAACAGAATGTATGAAATCAGTTAATAATATTAATATTAATATTATCATTATTCAATAAAATTTCTTACATGGGTTCTTTTAAATGTGAAATTCCATGAATGTCAAGTTTTCACTTTTTTTCTCCTGGGTTTAAAATGTTTTAAACGTGTTTGTGAGAAATTAACTTTTAATCTTAATCTACTATTGAATACCAAGGTATATTCCTTATTTTTCATGGAAACATATTGATGTGAAATGATAATTGTCTATATTAGTGATCCTTTCAGTGGAATATCATTAATACCTTTAATATCATTGTATTCATTCAAACTAAGTAAGTTTATTCATACATTTGAAGAAATCACTAAGTTACTGATTTTGATTAGTCTTGTTCTAATCTTATCTCTAAGTATTTGAATAATATTTATAGTAATGTTTAACAGTATCTATCACTATAACATTTATGATATAGATAAGATTCGATGATAAGATATAAACTAGAATTCTTCTTTATATGCAAACATGGATAGTATTTAGCAGTGAAATGCAAGACGCTCGTTTTATCCTATTTGGGACTCGTCATCTTTTCATATAATGCTTGTGCATTAAGGCTACATCGAGGCAATACACATATTATTTACATACGCCAATAAGAAACCGATCAATTACAGTCCTAAACATCAATGGGAAGATTCAAACAAACAATACCAAGTGAATTTAGAATTCTTTCTGTTATGCTGTTTTCATTATTTTTTTAGTTTATTTGTTTGCGAAGAGATAGATACTAAGTTTGAAACTTTTACAATACTAATTATGTCTTCGTTTCTGTGAACTTTGCGTTATAATTCAGGGACTCATTGAGTACCTTTAATACAATGGGTTGATCACAAGATTTAAATCACTGAAAAATTCCCATAATTTTTTCAGCGATTAAAAACTTTTACAATATCTATTGTATCTAAAACAATGAATTTCAGGTCAGAGAACTGATAGACCACTTTGAAGTAGATTATTGATCAAAGTCCTTATGAAGTATATTAAGATTAATAGATACGTCCATTGGTTTAAATATTGTTTCAAGGAACAAATAGTTATGGGTTGAGGGAAAAGTGAAAAAATTTAATCTAAAAGGTTACAAAACCTGTGAAATCCAATAGTTCAATGATTAGTTATTGACTTCACTGTTATTAAAAGTAAGAGTGAGAAACATAGACATCCGAATTCCCGGAAGTTTGAATTTGTGGTAGAATTCTTGTTGAATATTTCCTAGAAACCTATCATTTCTATGCATCTGTTCAGTAGGTTTTAGTAATATCTTTATTACAACGCAGATGAATAAGTAACAATATTCATATCCCCGGAAAATAAATTCTCACCATGATCTGTATGTTCTTTTTTTAAAAGTAGCTTTGGAAACTGAATAAACAAGTTAACTGGAGAAGTAGTTGACTGTTAAATAGTGGATGAAACTGTTTTTAAACGCAATCGGTAGATTTCCTCAAATTCATCTCAAAGTAAAAACCATCTGCAGTTAACGCCGAACTAAACGGTTCTGAATCTCAAAAAACTTAATTGGAGAGCTAATGACTTGTATAACTAATTAAGACCTCTAATATCTAATCTGATGCTATCAGCGTTAAGGGACTAAACTAAAATGAATAATGTCATAACATATGCGATACATTATATACAAATTAATCTCATTAAATACCTAAGTAAAACAATAATATTACTGGGTTTTATGTTTACATAGATCTTTTCCTATTACTTGCTATCCATACCGATCAGATATAAACTATAAAAATGTATTTAGTTTTACCAGATTTACATGGTCGTTTTGGGTACAGTAAGTGATACGATAAGTAAATTATACTCGCGACCTTTATTCGAACATTACTCGTAATAAACGATAGAATAGTTTATTGCCTAGAATGAAATGAGTTAAAGTTCCCATGTTAAGTAAAGGATGACTTAAATTTTGTATTGAAAATTGTTTTTTTCTAAGGTAAAAAATGACTTTCAAGATGACGGAATTTTGATAGCGAAAAACATTCATATCAACAATTTATTGGAAAGAGTTCACCTAAGAAGAGTGTTACTGAAGTGGATTACGCAATCAGATATAGTGATATTAAGTCATTCAAGATTAACATTAATATCATGCTGACAGCTAAAATACACTTCAGACATTTCAGTAAATGTAAACTCACCTGTTTATTAATTATAGTAAATGATTCTGAGAAATTACCATTAATTCCTCTCGCATACTATTGAAATTTAAACTGGACAGTAAAATACATCTGACTCAATAAGTTTAAACTATGATGTAATGTTTTGAATTAAATTTATGTCAGTTATATAGTACCGGAATATACAAATTCGGTAATAAATCTAAAAGATTACAAACTATAATGATTTTCTCAACTGTGAATGGGTTAGAGCAACGAAAATGGAATTTAAAAACGATAGTAAAATAAGATATCCTATCAAATAGGATTAAAGATCTCAAACTAGAATATTTCATTTCGGATAGCATACATACAAAATTCTTTCATTTATTAATCCATGGTAAATCCGCCTGTAGCTTCAGATCACCACCTAGTTGTAACCAATTTAAAATTGAAGCTAAAGAAGAACTGGACAACTGGACAAACAGCAATTCAAAGGTTCAATACAGCCTTCCTTCGACATACTGACAAACTCAGTGAATTCAAGATAGCTCTCAACAACAGGTTCCAAGCCTAACAAGATCTACTGAAGGAAGAAGAAACTACTATGGAGGACAACTGGAAGGGTATCAAAGAAGCATTAACTTCAACGTGTCAACAGGTTCTGGGCCTAAAGAAACACCATCATAAGGAGTGCATCTCTATAGAAACACTGGACAAGATCAAAGAAAGGAAGAACAAGAAGGCAGCAATTAACAACAGCCGAACACGAGCAGAGAAAGTCCAAGCACAAGCTGAATACATAGAAGCAAACAAGCAAGTGAAGAGGAGCATTAGAACCGACAAGAAGAAGTTCGTGGAAGAACTAGCAACGACTGCGGAAAAACCTACAAGAGAAGGAAGTATTAAACAACTTTACGATACAACGAAGAAACTATCAAGGAAATACAGTAAACCAGGGAGACCGGTCAAAAATAAAGAAGGCAGAACAATCACTAGAATTCAACAACAACGGAACAGATGGGTAGAGTACTTCGAGAAACTCCTGAGTAGGCCGGCTCCAACGAATCCACCGGACATCGTGGCAGCACACACAGATCTTCCTATAGATGTCAATCCACCAACGACGGAAGAAATCAGAATGGCTGGTCATCAAACAAATCAAGAGCAGGAAAGCAGCAGGACCTGACAACCCACCAGCTGAAGCACTGAAGTCAGACATCGAAGTAACTACAAACATACTCCACCTTCTATTGAAAAATATTTGAGAGGAGAAACAAGTGCCGATGTACTGGAAAGAAGAGCATCTCGTCAAGATTTCAAAGAAAGGAGATCTGAGCAAATGTGAAAACTACAGAGGCATTACACTACTGTCAGTACCAGGGAAAGCATTTAACAGAGTGTTGCTGAACCGGATGACACTACGGATCATCATCGAACAATCAGTTGAGTGGAACTCACCACTGTACATCAACTTCATTGATTATGAAAAGGCATTAGACATTGTAGATAGAAGAACATTATGGAAACTTCTTCGACACTACGGAGTTCCTGAGAAGATTGTTTACATTATCCGGCACTCATACAACGGACTACAGTGCAAGGTCGTGCATGGAGTACAGCTGATAGACGCATTCCAAGTAAAGACCGGAAACAGACAAGGCTGTCTACTCTCTCCCTTCCTCTTTCTTCTGGTGGTCGACTGGATTATGAAGACCTCGACATCTGAGGGAAAACATGGAATAAAATGGACTGCTCGGAATTAATTAGAAGATTTGGACTTTGCAGATGGCCCAGCCCTCCTATCACATACACATGAACAAATGCAGATAAAGACAATCAGTGCAACAGCAGTCTCTGCATCAGTAGGCCTCAGTATACACAAGGGGAAAACCAAGGTTCTCAAATTCAAAGCGGAAAACAACAATCCAATCACTCTTGATGGCAAAACTCTGGAAGATGT